ACCGCATGTACGCATACGTCGTCTATCGCATCGCCCTGTCACTTCACCTGGAGATCTTCCTGGGTCTGTGGATCGCGATTCTGAACCAGTCTCTCAACCTGAAACTGGTTGTTTTCATTGCCATATTTGCCGACATTGCCACACTGGCCATTGCCTATGACAATGCCCCTTACTCGAAGACGCCAGTCAAATGGAACCTGCCTAAACTATGGGGTATGTCCATTTTGTTGGGGATCGTCCTAGCTGCAGGAACATGGATTGCACTGACGACCATGATTGTTGGCGGCCATGACGGAGGCATCGTTCAGAATTTTGGTCACACCGACGCTGTCTTGTTCCTTCAGATCTGCCTCTCGGAAAACTGGCTAATTTTCATCACCCGCGCTAATGGCCCTTTCTGGTCCAGTATCCCCTCGTGGCAGTTAGTGGGCGCCATCTTACTTGTCGACATTCTCGCGACATTCTTCTGTCTTTTTGGTTGGTTCGTTGGTGGACAACAAACCAGCATTGTCGGTGTGGTAAGGATTTGGCTGTATTCATTCGGGGTCTTCTGCGTCATGGCTGGCGTATATTACCTCTTGCAAGACAGTGTCACATTCGATGACATTGTTCATGGGCGGAAGACACGGAGCAATAAGGTGCTCAAGAAGAGAGATATGGAGGATTTTCGTGAGTTTGACCTTGATGACATGCACAGCGCATCCGTGTCTCGACTAACCTGCACTCCCAGTTGTATCGTTGAACCGCGTGTCCACCCAGCACGAGAAGGTTGCATAACAAGCGACCGGTATGCTACAGGCTGGCTACGCGCGGTCACCATCGGCAGGAACACCGCAGAGTTGGCCACGGCCGCACCTCAACCATGCTCTACTCCTCAGAAATAATTTTTGCACCAATTCGGCCAGGTCGGGTGCCCGATTGATGGAACAAGTCCTGAATGCTCCTGGGAAACAGAAAGAGGTGTCAAGGACGTTAGCGAATCCGGACTTCTCCAAGACATCATCATTGGAACAAGAGGTCATGTCAGCATATTTGGACGGCAGGATCGGCTCTGAAACTTCTTCATCCCCAATCAACCAACAGGCGACATTCGTACCGCGACACAGTGCATAAGAAGCGAGAACTGATAGACTGGGGGCCCTTGGGAGGACAACTGCTGCAACGCGAGACACGATAATTGATACCCTTTTTACTTGTTATAATCTGGATTCGACATAGGGACGAGCGATACCCGAGACGAAGTATTGACCTTGAGCGACGGCGCTGTTTATAGGTGTTCTTTTCCTGTTTGCCATTGTTGTTGGAATATTGAGGCAGGTTGACAGAGCTCTTCGGCCGAGATGAGCAGGCATGGGGTTGTGGTGAGGACGTTAGAGGGAGCGGGGATCCTCGAGTGGCCGCATTCGACGGACTTGGCTTGTCAGCTGCAGTCGGTGGGGACGATGATGAGGATGATGAGGATGATGAGGATGATGGCTGAACCAGGAAACAAGGAGTATTGCTGAGAGGAGGAGGACCGCTGTTCACCTAAACAATCAGGACTATGCACCGTGATGGGTTATAGACGGCTGTGCGTCCCTCGCCAAATTTGGCCACGGCCATCAATCTCCCTCGTTTACATAATGCTATTACATTGACGCCTTGTCGAGCCAGGTGTTTCTGCTCCTTGTCTGACTCGGTCTCTTCCACGAGATGGTGGCTCTGCTGCCAACATATTCTTGCTCAGACTGCAAGAGTACCTGAGGCACCAAAGGTGTTCACTGTCTTCCTGGCAGTTAGTTGCCCAGAAGCGCAGAATGTTACTTCGCTCGGGTCGGTCGATGGAGGCCACTGGGCCGCGCCATCTACCAAGAAACTCGCCCGATCGGGCTTTGGAACTGGTCCAGCTCCTGTTCTCCCGAGACGTCGGATCAGGAAGCTCGGTGTTCGGAGGGTCATCGTGACCTGTTACCCATCAATCTCACTTCGTTTTGGTCATTGCGGAAAGGCCACAATGCCCACGGAAGCGCAAACGATGATCAGCTTGTTTCAGCCTTGGGTCGCCATCCACCAGCCCGAAGGGTTGTGCCTTGACCCCGCAGACCTTGTTACTTGCCGAGGGGTTGAACAGCAGTGGCCGGATGGGGGAGGTGGGATGATCTGGGATGGCTTGGATGGCTTGGATGGAGCGGTTGGAGCTTGTCGCTGGTCGCTTGTCACTTGTCACTTTGCTCCATTTGAAGAAAACATGCGCATTTCCATACCGTCCTATCTCATGCCGTCATGCTATCTGTCGCAGGTTTCGTCGACCTATCATCCCCTTGCATCCCCCTGGGCCTCAAATGCTTACAATTGGGCAACTTGCTTGGTACTTGTCTTCTGGCACTGGCGCCGTTCCCATGTCGGCGAATCGAATCATGGCGTCCATCTCAGAAGGATTCTAGGTCGAGGGTGCGAAGTGTGACCACAACCTTTGCGACGGACAATCACGGGATGGATGGACTCGATCCACGAGGTTCAAGATAACCATCTTCTTAACCAGCGCCTCCTCGCTGCAACCTGGATCTCCCGACCTTCAATTCCGACGACGCTGGCCTTTGGGATCTTGGATTCTGGACTCGATATACATCACATGATGCTCCGACAATGGCTTCCCCTTGCTCTACTGGTATGTCTTGGTCTCGTCACGGCGCAAGATGGAGGCATCATCGAGACCCTCAATGGCGTGGCGGAACTCTCGGAGCTTGTAACCTATCTGGACAGGTACCCTGATCTTACCCTGTGGCTTCAAGGACTATCAGATATCACATTCCTGGCCCCAAACAATGATGCATTTGCAGCACTGGCCGACTCGTCGACCGTCCCAAGTATCCCACTCGACGAGGCCGACGCAGAGGCTTTGGTGAGCTACCATGTGCTCAACGGGACCTTTTATGACTTCAGCTCCGGCGAATATACCCTCGTTCCCACGGCGCTGTCGGGTCCGCAGTATGCGAATGTCAGTGGAGGCCAGATTGTCGCTGCCAAGGGGTCGCCATGGTCCAATGCGATGACTTTTACGTCTGGGAAACTCCATATGTCTGAATCCGAGGACGAGCCGTTGAACTTTACAGGTGGCGTCATCCACATCATCGACTCGTTCCTGACTCTTCCCCAGACCTTCAAAGCGACCGCCGAGGCAGAGGATATGCTTGGAGGACCTGCATTCGCCGCGGCCGCAATCACCGTGCCGCAAACAGGTCAGAACGTGAGCATCGACCAACTGTCCGACGTCACGGTCTTTCTGCCCATGAACTACTCGCTTCAGGAGGTTGGCAACGTGATTCAGAATATGACGTGGGCAGAGCTGGACCGCCTGGTGGCGTACCACATTATCGACCAGGTGCTGGACATTGACCCCAACGCACCACCTCACGGACAATATACAACATACGAGGGCTCCGATGTGTCCATCTTCAGCCAAAATGGCTTTGTCTTTGTCAACAATGCCCGGATCGTCGGATCTCCTAATTGGTTTTTCAGCGGAGGCATGATTTACACCATTTACGGGTAAATTCAGAACCACCCCCTCTCCCGATGCCATATATCCATTTGCTGACCTGTATTTCCAGTGTGCTCAACCCGGACAATACGACTGTTGATCCTAACATCAATGACGCCGAAATCGCATTTGCCGGAGCGTCATTCACTCCAGACTTCACATTCCCCACGCCAGCTTCCCAGACATCGCCATCGGATCCGTCCGCAGCAAGTTCAAGCGGTGGTCTCTCGGGCGGGGCGAACGCAGGCATAGGCGCCGCCACCGCCGTGGCCGTGGTCGCCTTAGTCGGTGTCTTCTTGTTCCTCCGCAAGAGACGTCGCACGGCGAGAGAACTGGGTCCACGCAAGTCCTATCAGTATCCCCTTCAATATCCGATGAAGGACTTCGAGGTGTCGATTTCACACACCGAGCTCGTTGCAAACGCGGCGGCGCCGGCCCGCGGGCCGATCAAGGAATTCACGCCCGCTGTGAGCGTCTACTCGTTGCACTAACCACTCTGGATGGAGCTGTACCTGTGGCCGTAGCTAGGACGGGCAAGACGGGGCACCTCGACCTGCTCATCATTTGCGGGGCATTATGGAATCGGTGATTGGTGATTGATATGAGCTGTCGGAGGGAAGCGAACGGAGAAGGGGGGGCATCACTGCGCACTTTCCCCTTCATGTCATCTGTTTCAACGAGCAACACGCAACATTTTACGACCGAGCGAGCATATCTAGACACTCCCACGAGGAGCCGAGCTGAATCCCAGGCTCGTTATTTCAATATCAGCAAGATCCAGAAAGGGAGGCGCCTGGTTGAGTGGTCAGTCAGTCAGCCAGCCCAGCTCGGTACATAGAGAGACCCGCCGCTCGCCTCCTCTAGGGGGTGCTGGGATTGGCATATGTAATACTCGGTATTTCTATAGCGTCATCTTAGGAGAAAGAGAAGGAGAAGGAGAAGGAGAAGGAGAAGGAGACGGTCCCCATCCCCATGGCGACCCTACATACGCCCTCACGCCCGAGAGAGCTGAATTGCTCCGCCCGGGTTTATTTTAATGTCATGCTCACTTTCCAATAGTCCACTTTGATCTTGTAAGGTAATATCTCCGTCCGGGATCTCAGCCTTGCATTATGTCCATGCTCCTTCCGTTTCGTGGATGCAATTTGCATCCGACGGAATTTCGGCTCAGCCTCGATCCTATTCATGTATCTACACATCGAGTATGTGAACCCAGGACGGAGGATACGGGGTATACGGAGTACGTTGGACTCTTTGACCATTGGAACTGCCGACGATAGCTCTCTACCGTTGTCCTTCCTGGATAAGACCTCCCTCCTTGTCGCAACCACCTCTCCATCCTTAGCACCTTTTGGAGGTATTTCGAAAGGAGCCATGGAGGGCGGGGGAGAGACAGAGAATATGCGAGAGTGTGGTGAGGATACCGACTCCCGGTATTAGAGAAGCGGCCAGCACATCTACCAAACTCTCGCATCTAGCTCTACCTCTCTGTGTATCCACCGTCGACAAACAGCGCCGTGCCGGTGACAAACGAGCTCCTCCCACCAGAAAGGTAGACGACGCCGTCTGCGATCTCCTGGGGCGAGCCCATGCGCTGCATGGGGACGGCGTTGGCGACCCTTTCGGCCATGACCTGGCGCACGAGCGCGTCCTGCGTGGTCATGGGCGTCTCGATGTAGCCGGGACAGATGGCGTTGATGCGCAGGCCCTGCGCGGCGTAGTCTTCAGAGGCCGTGCGCGTGAGGCCCAGCACGCCGTGCTTCGAGGCCGTGTACGCCGTCGACATGGACACGCCGACGGCGCCCAAGATGGAGCCGAAGTTGACGATGACGCCGCGCGAGAGCTCGCGGCCGTCGATCGACGAGAGAAGTCGTGGCTGGTTCAGCATGATGCGCGCCGAAGCTCGCAGCACGAAGAAGGTGCCGGTCAGATTGACGTCGAGCACGCGCTGCCAGTCGTCCGTCGCCGCGAAGGCCGCGCCGCCCTCGTGCTTCTTCGCGACACCAGCCGCGTTGACCACGTAGTCGAGCCGGCCGAACGTGCGCGCCACCTCGGCCACCGTCGTGTTGACTTGGTCCTCGTTCCGCACGTCCACCACGAACACTTCCACCCTGCAGCTGTTGTCCTTGGCGAGATTCCGCTGCTGTTCCTCAATCTCCGCCTTGACGGCGAGGAGCCCGTCGTGGTTCAAGTCCAGCAATGCCACGCCCGCGGCGCCGTCGCGCGCAAATGTCTTTGCGCACGCCCTGCCGATGCCCGATCCTCCTCCCGTGATCAGCGCGAAACCAGGCACGTCCATTGCTTTGCAAGATAAAACAGGAAAAAAGGCCTAAAAGAGAGGAGAAAGAAGAAGAAGAAGAAGAAGAAGAAGAAGAAGAAGAAGAAGAAGAAGAGAGGTCCCTACGAACGTAAAGGTTGTATGTCGTAGTGTGCGATGCGGAGACGATGCCTGGAAGCCCGCTTTGTCTCCCTGTACCAAAGGCCCTGCCTTCAGCATAATAATATATGGACAGAACGTTCTCTCCGCAGAAGACAATGAATGGCCCGACATAGTTACCTCGGGTCTCTCCGCGCGTGCGGACAACACAGTTGGGCCTCGCCAGAATGGGAAAGCGAGCAAATAAATATTCTGCACGTTACGGAAACTCCACTGGCTTCCCCTCTGCCGCTGGTTGGTGGATGGGTGGGTGGGTGGGTGAGTAGAGTTAACTGTTCTGTCTTTGTAGTAGTGAACTGTAGAATGGGGTCCAAGGCGCAAGGGTTCACGTGATGTATTCGCGCCCGCAGGGTGCCATGCATGCATGCATGCACAGATGCCCCGTCCATCATCAATGCCCACAGCTTGAAAGAGTTGACGAGGCTTGGGGTGCGGAGCGGCGCATAGATAGGACTTTGCAGCCATGTACAGCCGTGAGCTCCTTCTCGTGTGATGAGCTCTGCCCCTACCTACAACGTCACGGGCGCGAGCTTTCATAGAGTGTGGAAATCACCTCGAGGTGCGAGGAGAAATTTGATCAAAGTAAGTTGCATAACGATGATATACGCCTGCTGATCGCGCAAAATATCCGCCTTCCATTCCAACCTACTTAGTCTTCATATCTGCGCAGAAACTCCTGGGCTTCGCGGTGGTCCCGCTCGAGCACCTCGCGATGCTTCTGCGACCTGACGGTCAAGATGGCGGGAAACGCATGGGGCCCTCCCACAAAGCTATCAGAGTATGTCGCGCGGGCATCGAGATCCGGAGGAGAGTCAGGGTCCGCTTTCATGTCGAAAGCCCACGCCATCTTTGCCATGTTTATCATCTGCAGGGGGTGGTTCCACGTCAGCTTCGTGCCCAAGATGTGCACAACGTGTGCGTTGCGCGCGCCATAGACTCCTTTCAGGAGCGAGCTACTCGAGACGGACGACTTACCAATGAGTTCTCACCCATCTCTTGACCTGGGCAGACTCTCCTGCTCGCACCAAAGGCATAGGTAACCCGTCGGTTGTCCCCGTCGACCGTGTCACCCCCCGCCGTGGTACCGAATTTGTTGTTCAACCACCGCTCGGGGATGAAGTCCGCGGGCTTGTCGTACTCTGACTCGTCGTGGTGGATCGACCAGGTATTTGCAAAGACTATTGTGCCTTTTGGCAGGAAGTAGCCGTCGTACCAATCATCTTGGGTCAACATGTGAGGCGGCCCTTCTGGAGCAAGCGGTCTCCATCTGAAAATCTGCCGGGGTTCCCTGTTGAATGTTAATTCCCAGTGTAAATTCGTTCAATACTTACTTCGGTCATTATTGCTCGCATATAAGGAAGGTCTTTGATGTGTCTCGCCGAAGGCGAAACAGAGTCGCCGCAGAGGTCGTCCACCTCTTTCTGAGCCTTTTTCAGCACCTCAGGGTGAGATATCATGGCCAAGACAAAGAGATGCAAATTGGACGCGGAGGTTTCCGAGCCGGCTTCTAGCTGAGACAAATATTCAGTCCTTGGGGTCATTTGGGAATATGGCAATGACAGTCGTACCAGTATTCCACCGACATAGACGAGTTGGTCATGGCTCAAACCGCTCTGCTGACTTCCCTCCAAGAGCTTTTGCATGTAACATGGAGCTGTGTCTCCTCGATTCATCCTTGCTTTTGTGTTGTCAAACAGGGCATTGTAGAATGCTTTCTGCTTGTTCCCCACTGCCACGGCCAGAGACTTGTAGTGGGTAAGAAAGCTCGCTATGTGCTTGAGAAAAGGAAATGCGTCGACGGGTGGAGTAGCCCCGGCGGCCATGATCTCCGCGAATGCCATTTCTATCTCGAAGAATCCTGTAATTTTCGGGTCGTCGTACGTGGCACCTCTCTGGCCGTAGACAGCTTCCAAGACGACGGCTGCCGCGTAGCGGCGTAGATGTTCGAACCACTGCTCGGGAGTCTGCATTATGTCGTACATGGTCTGAGACGATTCTGCCTGCTGAAGGGGAATTATAGATTCGATGGATGGACCGTTCAAAAGTCCTACCGCCGCTTTTCGAAGTGCCCTCCATGTTGGACCATATGGTTGAAAGAGAATGTGAACCTCGTTGGGGCAGATGAGGTTGTTGCCGACATAATGGTCGGGCCGACTAGAGTAGATATTACCTCTCTTATCGTAGAGCCTGGTCCACGTTAACACTGACCATGATGACCCAGCCTCCGCGGGAACTCACTCCCTGACAGGTTTGTAATTGCTTAGAACGACGACGTTCAAAGGGCCCAGTTTCAACCCGACAACTGGGCCGTACTGTTTCTGCCACTCGTGGAACCTGGCTCGTTCAGCTCTTGTGATTCACTATTCCCCTAGCCAAACAGAAAGGACTGACTTGAGGAAAAGTTTTTTCACAGGCATTTGGTGCAGATTCCCAAGGACCGGCAGTCCTGGCGGCCCTGGAGGGAAGTTTCGAGGGCGACGACTTGCAGGCACATAATACACAAGGAGAGAGGCAAATGCAAATGCAAGTGCTGCAACCACAAACTTCCAAACGTAGGCCAAACCGGTTAGCATCATGTTAGTCGCGAAGAAGATATGTCCAAAGGCCATAGCCGCAGGGTCACAATACCTTTGTATGCTTTGTACAAGTTGAATGCGCGTCAGCCACGCACACCCTTGGAAATCGCTGTCAACGAGGCTTTCCACAGACGTCCAATCCAAACAAGGCTGCCATTACTCAGATCGTGCAACACTCAATTGGACATAGGGCTTCCACCCGCTAAGCGGAGACAGACGAGTCAATACAGCGAACTCGAGGTGGCATTTGCGGATGACGTGATATCCTTGGCTGTATAAAGAATAAGAGCTCGACACGACAGGTCATACAGACCCAACCTATTAGTCAGGTATTAGGAGGAGAAGGTCAATTTTGTATAGATGGATCTTCGTAATCAGCAGTTTTGGTAATCGAAACCTGCCAAATCCGCTGATGTCGTTTGGAGAGGGGGCCAGACGGACAGTTCGTGAAAGCATAAATATATAACCAGTTTTTGGAGTTCGCTGTTAATAGCAATTCAGGTTAGAATGACATGCCCGTGAGCATCGACCACCTTTGCCTGAGCTCTTCATACTCGGCCTGAGTTCTATTGATCAGTTTGCAAAGACCATCTTATTCGAGATTTTGCCGATACGCTCAATCTCTATTGTTACCGTGTCGCCATCGCGCAACCATGCTGCCGGCTTCATGAAAGCAGCCACGCCACTAGCACATGTCAGTCTAGGGACACATCAAGCATGTCTGTTTGTAAACACTTACCTAGGAGTCCCTGTCATGATAACCGTGCCCTTTCTGATCGTAGTGCCTCTGGCCAGATGGCGGATGAGATCGCTGATGCCGAAGATCAAATCATCAGTCTTGCCGTCTTGTCTCAATTCACCATTAACCCATGTGCGGAGTCTGAGGCCCTCGGGATTAACGACGGCCTGGCGAGAAGCAATGACGGGGCCAATTGGAGCAAACTTGTCGAAGGATTTGGCAGGGCCATGCTGACCGCCTGACCTTGGTGCGACTTGCCAATATCGGGACGAAACGTCGTTGCCCACGGCAAAGCCGAAGACGTAATCCATGGGATCCTCTCCCTCGGAGATGTTCTTTGCATCCTTTCCGATGACAACTGATAACTCGCCCTCGTAATCCAGGTCTTTTGCTTCCGGATGAATGGGGATGTCTTCGAATGGGCCAGCTAGAGTGTCTGTAGACGATTTACTGGTGATGCCCGTCATAATGCGCGGACGTGCCTACCTGCATATTTGGTAAAAACGACTGGGAAACTTGGAATGGGAAACTGAACCCGTCAGACGAAACTGTCTTCAAAAGTGTCTTTAGTTACTTACCCCCGCTTCCTCAGCATGTTTCCTGTAATTTAACCCAATACCTAGAACGATTGGCACCTTCTCCAGAGGGCACAAGACCTGCAGTGCGTCAGTATCCACCTGGGAATCATAGGGTGCCTTTTTTTGCGGGACATTGCTCACCTCGGAAACGACGGCTTTTTTCTCCAAGAGTCGAAAATCACTGTCGAACGGGTCAGGACCCGAAAAGATTTGGACTTCCTTTCCCGTGAGATCAGACTCCCAGTCTGAGCCGGCTTCGCCATAGTAGATTTGTCCGTCCGAGGCTCTGAACCTTACGAGCCTTTGGAATTTTGTGGCCATAACGAGGGGCTCCCTGGAAGGTTTGATGATATTTCCCGTTGCTCAGTCGGATCAGTCGGATCAGTCGGATCAGTCGAATCAGTTCGTAGTGCCTCTGAAGCTATATCAATGTGGCCTGTGAGACTTAAATAGAGAATCGGCCAGCGCTGACAAACACTTCTCGGTCGAAAGTCACCTTGTATTTGTAGGGCCTAAATTCAATGAGGAGACTCGTCACACCGGCACTTGAACGTACCCCAGGAAACCCGTCCCCGCTTTTCGGATTTCGGAGCGTTCATGTTCGCCGTCATCGGGGACAGGGCTCAGCTGTTGCGGTGACGAGGCTGAATGGTGCTGTAGAGACATGATTGGACTCTTGCCGTCGATGCTCTTCCGGTACCGCTGACTGCCACGTGTGGACAGTGAAGGGTGGATACAAGGAAGGGGGGACCAAAAGAATTTGCAGTTTCTAAAGAGCTCGGGTCTCGAGAGGAATTGACGTCATTCGTGGGATGGATGGACACAAATCGTCTTGCAAAAGTAGTCTAATAAGTGCCTTATCTACTCGGTAGACCAGGCGACGAATACTGGTACATACATATGTATACCTCGTACCAGGTCGTACCCGACGAGAAACCCGGCCAGTTACACACATTTCGCTCTCGACGTCTTTGGTGGTTTCGCTTTAACACTGTCAGCGCCTGGAAAATCCACAGGCAGGTTCTGAGACCAGCATCAACCGTCAAGATGGGCACTGAAAAATCTTATTTCGGAACTTCACCAGATTACATATCTACGCACCGAGTATGTGTCTCACCACGCCCTCCCCAAGCCTCCTCTACAAGCCAACATGCAGACCCTTGGCAATACTCATCCTCTAACCGCCCTCGCGCCCCTGCAGGCTCAATACCCTTCGTCACGCACCATCCTCGTGTCTGGAGCGACGGCAGGCATCGGGCTCGCCGTCGCCAACCGCCTTCTATCCTCACCCGACCAGCATCTACTGATTCTGGCCGGCCGCAAAGTCAGCGTCCTCGACAATTTCCAATCAACCCACCCAGACCGCGTCATCACGAGGGCTGGCGATATGGCCGACCTCGAATTTGTGAAAGGAATGTTGCAGGGTGTCCAGTTCGACGGACGACTCGATGCGCTCGTGCTGAACCACGGCACCTTAGGCAGGTGTTTGAGGCTAGGGCAGATGGAAGCCGATGAGTGGGAGCGAACATTTAGGATTAACGTAACTAGTTGCGTCGTCTTGGTAAGTTCAATCTTCTTATGGTCTTGATATTGGCCTCGAGGGATATTCTACGTTTGCAGAACGAGCAAAGTGCTGTAGTCTAACTCATCATTGCTACATACAACCATCAGATCAAGGAAACACTCCCGCTTCTCCGCAAAGCAAAGGGTCGCATCGTCTTCACATCATCAGGCGCTGCTTTGAACGCGTATCCCTCGTGGGGGGTTTATGGCGCCACAAAAGCAGCCATCAACCACTTGACCATGACACTGAACAACGAAGAGCCTGATGTAACCACCCTATCGATTCGTCCCGGTGTCGTTGACACGGCCATGCAAATGGAGATCCGGGAGAAATATCTTCACAACATGGACGAGAAGGACCAACAGAAGTTTTTGAGCGCGAAAAGGGACGGAAAACTATTGCCGCCCGAAAAGCCTGGAAACGTGATTGCAGAATTGGCCGTGAGGGCAAAGAAGGAGTTGTCGGGGTCTTTTTTGAGGTGAGAGCCTGTGGGCCCGACAATTCACGCAGAATCCATATTGACATACCTCCAGCTGGGATGACGCTCAGTTAGCCGAGTACCAGCTTGAGTAAGCGTCGAGGGATGCGGGATCGATGAATGCGTGGGCTTCATCAAGCGATGACGAGGTTTCCGGTCGAGATAAGTATGCATGATGTCGGTAGAAGCTTATGCTCTGCGCAGATTCCCAAGGTTACAAGGGGAACTGTATTGCAAAGCCCCTGTTCTCGCGTATCAGCAGCCATCGCGCAAGATGAGGACAAGACATATTGTGGTAAGAAACTCCGAATCAGGCGAAAGATGAAAAATGAATACACAAGCTTAAGCATTAGAATCCAGCGGACCTTCATACTTAGCATGGAAGAGTGGTGTGTTCATCAGGAAAAGGGGTCTTGGGAGAGAGGGCTTAGACTTACCATCACGAAGTTGCAAGACAGTGTAGCTACAATCAATCTCGCTAATTTCTGAAACCATAGTTAGGTCATATCCCAGAAGATAAATGAAGGTGTGCAATATTGTCTTGATGTTGGGTCGCGTTCAGCTAATCGAACCGATGTATTCGTCAATTTGCATTTCCGAATTTGATAGTACATAGTGTTGATCATCATTTGGAAATGGATATGGAAATGATAAGACGAGGGTGGACATACACCCTACAATTTTCAAGCTGCTAGCAAGAGGTGCGGATAGATATTCTGTAATGCGTCAGTGACTGCGTGCATCGTGTGGTAGCAAAGGGTCATATGGGAGATGTAGGCATGTTCAGGAAGTCCGGTTTGGGTTTGGACAGGTAATCACCACAATTTGGTATGATAGGGGCGACACGAATGTTCATCATGAAGGATGCTTCAAGGCGAGCGAGGAAGGAGTCACTCACAGGGCATGAAGTGTCGTGTTCAGACTTGGTCGGGGCTGTCGGTGAGCACAGAGGTCTTCATTCTGTATCAAGCTTCATCAGTGATAGATATCGACCGTGACAAGCAGAGAGGTATTCAAGCAAGCTGCATGAAGGAGCCAAGTCCGCAATCTCAATCGTGCGGGACTTTGATGGCAGTAACGAAGAGAAGTCAAGGATAATAATAAAAGACAGAAACTTCAGGAAAAGAATTTACCTTCCGCCAAGACAAGACTGCGCGATGCCTGTTTCGGAAGCTGCTTGCCTGGCCTGGTCGCGCATCACGTCGCCACGACTATTTAACACCCTCATTCCTCCCCGCGCTCCCCTGGGCTGGACCCATGAGCCTCTAAGAGCCTGGACGCATCTCACTACTGCACCAAATACATACACTCTGTCATCATGTCGGACAAAGAATTTGGCAGTATGTTCGCGACCCCAAAGCCTGAGAAACCATAATGCAGCTGCTAACAATCTATGTACAGACAGTGACGACCTGTCTCTCCCCAAAGCCACTGTCCAAAAGATTATCTCTGAAATCCTACCTCAGCTGCCTCATGACAACACCGGCGCCGGCAAGGAAGGTGAAATGACATTCACCCGCCCGGCCCGCGATCTTCTCATTTCCTGTTCGCTCGAGTTCCTCCGCATGGTCTCCTCCGAATCCAACGAGATATCCGAGAAGGAGTCCAAGAAGACAATCAGTGTGGAACATGTCGAACAAGCGCTCACAGATTTGGGTTTTGGAAGTTACATTGAGGGCTGTCGCGGTGTCGTGGGCGAATGGCAAGAGGTCCAAAAGAAAAGAATTGGACGCGGCGAGAAAATGCGCAACTTCGGTGGCTTTGACAAGATGGGAGAAGAGGAGCTGAGAAAGATGCAAGAAGCATTGCTGGGGGAGGCGAGGGGGAGGATGGAAGGCAGTGGTGCCGGACAAAACGACATGCAGCATGGGCAGTAGGCTAACACTCCCAAGGCCGCTGAACGAATCGCGGGCCGGCGTGGTACCGCTGGGCTAATCGTCTCACCTCCCGGAAGAAATGCAGAGATAATTACTACGGCACAACGGTCTGACGGTGCCGTGGGGTTTATCCATTATATGCGTTCAGAGAACCGGCAATATCCCTCCCATATACCTGGCTGAGGAGCTTAACAGCGTGCGACACATATCCGGGTCGCCAAGTTCATCGAGTACCGGCTTTTGTATCGCTCGAGCAACAAACCACGTCACAACATGTACAAATATTTGTATGATCAGGCTTCCTTTACAAAGCAACCTACCGTGAATGGCCCAAGGCGGCAAGACCCGGTAAGTCATAACTTGGTTGCCGTAATGCGATATGTTATGACGTCCGACTACAAACAGATCCTCGAAGAGCCCCAACACTACGAGCAACGCAGATGATTACATCGAGAATACGCCATAATATCGACAAATTTTCCGAGTCGACCGCCAGAAGCGTGAGCGAGACTCTCTCACCCTCCGTACTTTCGACTCCGAAGGGAAAAGCACTTGTGTCATGTTCTCAGAGGGAGTAATGTTCGCTTTCCCCTTTAATATCTTTCTCGGCCTCTTTTCTTCCCGCTGTTATACGGCGCGAGCATTGAAGCCGCTTCGGTCTGGCCCCCGAACATAAACAGGGCGCGAGCATCAAGCCCCAGGACGGCCGTGGCGGAGACCGAGTCTGTGGATTTTCCATCATGGTTACCTCGACGGAAGGAAACAGGTGATGAAAGACTACAGAGACGTGTTATGTGACCAGTAAATGAAAAGGCGAACGAAAAAGAACGGAGTGGTTGGGCAGATGCACACGCCCCATGACGGATTATTTGGAGCGCAACATGACGGCAACGTAGGGTTTGCGTTAAATAGAGGAATCAATTACTTGCGCATCGGGACTTTTTCTCAATTATTGAACCCTCTTGTTCGTCAGGCCACCTGCCTACCGCCCTCTGGACATCTCCTGTCTCCTTCTGTCTCCTGGACGAGAGTTTCCCATCGCTTTCCTGCCACGCGGCTTCCAGATACATTCCTTCCTCATCTCCCTGGCATCTTGCGTCCCTCCCTATTCGCATACCTCGCGACATGGCCCAGCTTCATCAACAGATCGGCGTCGAGACGACTCATATCGCCTCTGGCTTTTAGGTTCCCGCCCAGATCTCTCGTCCTCCTGACGGGTCCTCCAGCAGTCGTAGCGTTGGGACTCTGCAGTCCCTCCACCAGGATGCTCCACTCGGCGACCGTGGCGCCGTCGCCGGACATGTTGCGTGCGGTGACGCTGGCATTGTACAGCGAGCCCCAGATGCGCAGCGTAGCGAAGCTCGCTGTGTACACGGGCGGGGTAGTCGAGGGGATGTCAAACGTGGTGATGTTGTCTTGCACGGCCTCGATCGAGTTCAGCGCCGTCAGGTTGTACCTGTCGGTGATGTTCACGCGCTGGTTCGACGCGACTTCAAGGACGCCATCGGGGTTGGTGATGGTGGCAGCGGACGGGTCCGCGAGGGATCGATTGTGGAACAGGACGGAGTAATTGTACGGCGGTATTTGTCCCCAGTTGAGCTCCATCCCGGTCACCTTGTATCCCACTGGCAGCGCCACTGTGATGGAACTTGTCTTATTTGCTGACACGGGCTGCCATTTCGTACTCGTTGCACCATCGACTGCCGAAAGCGGGAACTGGCCTGGCAAGTAGTCGTCGGGGGACGAGACAGGGAGACATTGCGCGACATTGTTTTCAGTCGTAGGGATAAGACCAATTTGTCTGTTGGGGACTGTTATGCTGGAGTTCGGCATCAAGGAGTAGGTCGCAAGGGGGGGCGAGCCGATGGGCCCAACCACGACGGGAATGGCAGAGGTTGCATAGGTAGCGTTCGGGACCGCGCCCTCACTAGGAGCAAGGCCACCGTTCCTCGTCAGGACCGTATGTGTCTGGTTCGAGAAGGCAGAGATCGGCCAACCATACCAGTGGAAGGTGCGGTATCTGATTTGTGGGATCTGAGGCGGTAAACTGGGGTCAATGTGCAGATTGAAATCTGGAATCAGACGTAAACCTAGATATCCAAATAGCACGACTTGTAACGCGCCTCCATGGCCTGTCAGGAAGGGATATGCTGGGTGCGTCCCGCCATTCTCGTTCCAGTTGTCGACCAACTGTTCAGAGAGTTGGAACCACGGCCCTCGGAGGTACGGTTGCGAGCTATATTGTTGATAGGTATAGGAAGAGCATCCGGATGGCGAGATCTGGTTTGCGATGATGGAGAAGATCGCGTATGTCATGGCGGGACCGTCCACGGATTGCTGGGCAGCATAATAGTCGAGATCGCTGAGCGAGTCGTTGGACGTATAATTCTGCCCGGTAAAGGAGAGCGGGTAAGTGTTGAGAATGACATCCGCCTGTTTTACGACAGTCGTGCCGTTCATGCCAGTGTATTCCAGTGTGACGTCCGCGTCTTCATCCCGGCCTATCAGCACGTTTTGAGACATACCCGCCCACTTTGCATTGGGCGTGGCATTGAACATGGAGCGGAACTGATTGGCGTAGGTGAGATGGGTAGAGATCAAAGCCATGGTGAAGCCACCATTGTCGACGTGGTTGGCATACTCGTCTGGATCAGTCATGTTGAGGAGAACCCAATGAGAGCCGTTTCGCTCAAGGATTTCTGAGTACATTGTGGCAACGGAGTCATAGATGGGCCAGAGAGACTCCTGAAATAATGCCGTGTCGCCCGACGCGATCCATAAATTGATGAACTCCAGGCCAATGTCCCCGTTCAGGTGATACTCATAATCCCAACATGGACCAGTGGCTGTACAGTTCCCAAAGCGTCCACTCGTCCAGGGAAAGATGGCTGCAGCAGAACTAAACGTGGTATTTTTCTTGGAGGAGGCGAACGCAGTGCCAATATTTTGCTTCGCCTGCTGATACCTCTCCACTCGATAGTTTGCAATACCCTTGGCCGCTGATGGAAATGCTGCTACCAGACCGGGTTGCATCCACACCTCAGCATCCCAAAAGATTTGTCCAGCGTATGAATCTGAACCCAGTCCTCCCACGGCAATGCTATGACTGTTAATTGAATTGGCGGCATTGGCCGTTGCATCAATTGCATTCTGCGAAATGGTGTTTTGAAGGAGATGGTATGGGTTTGTCACCGCTGTAATTGCTGCTTCGAGTATAAATTGATCGTTTGGCAATGTACCATTTTCTGGGAATGAGAAATCGTCGACAGACGTAGTAGGAAACTGTTGTGCCCATTCTGCAGCGTGGGTCTGCAATGAGGCAGCATAACCAGCCTGTCTCGCGGCAAGCGCGGCATTTCTTGCAACAGCACGGGGACTCAGGAATCCATCAGTTGAGGCGATTCCGACGAATTTGGTGAAGGTAGCAACCTGCCCAGCCTGAAGGGTGACATTCACCGCAGAGGCCACTGATGATGCATTATTGCCCACATACGGCCGCTGCCATGTCGCTTGCTCGACAGAGCGAACTGAAGCCCCGGTGCTCGTCATACCAGCGTATACGAACGCCGTCACATTATGAATGCCATTCGGCTGAACAGAAGTAAAAATGAGACCAGAGTCAATACCATTCTGTCCAGGAGTTGTGCGGACAGCGCAGTCTCCATTGAGCACATTCGCTATTGTAATGTTTGTGGCTTTGGCCGCAGTGATATTCATGGTAACAAAGCCCTGATTGATATTGAGCTTATGTGCGAACATTTGGTAGGACACATTGAATGACGCATGGCCATTTGGCGACCACGTAAAAGCCCAGTTCATAAGACCACGCTTCATGTCGAGGTTTGATCTGAAACTGCTGATGGTCGAGCCGTCGGTGGCAGCAGCCAGGTAGTTGCTTCCTCCCAAATCTGGAACGATGCCACTCCAGTGAGGAATGCCACTGATGGCAGTATCCCAGCCATATTGATACAGCCAGGGAAAATTGGAGCCGTTGGTCTTTGGTTGAGAGTCCCAGAGGCCTCCAACAGTGGCGAAGGTTTGTCGTCGATCGAACAGAGGCCATCCATTGATATTGTCCCCGTCGACAGGAGTATCGACCTCGAAGAATGGGCCTAGGGATGCTACGTTGATTCCATGATAGCCATTCGCAACCACCATTCGAGATTGATAATGTCCTTGATCCAGATTGGTGGTGGTGAGCACCCAGTTGGCAGCGTCCCAGGTGACCCCGTCAAATCGAGTCTTGTATATCGTCGATGCATTACCAGATTGAGCTGATGTGAAGGAGGATAAGGAGAGAGTGAGAAGCAGGCCAAAGAGCGACAAGAGCCATGTCGAAGCCATCTGTTGCAATTAGTTCGGCCTTGATTCCATCTGAGCATCGATATTAGCATCACGTACCCTGGGTTCTTTCGTAGCTGTTCTTCTATCCTGGCACGGTGTAAGTGAATTAAGAATGCTTACTTTTGTTTGAAATTGAGGTCAGAGGAAGAGAAGCTCCAGCTTTTGGTGCTCCTGGGCTACTGGTTACCTCATGGATGAAAGTAGGCCTACCGACCATGTGACAGCAAGAGGAGCTTCAGTTGCAGGTACGGGAGGTTACTGCTGGCTAAGTGATTGTCCACATCCAACATGTAATGCAGACAGGGCGCGGAAGACCGGTAGAATTCCTGCTCGCAGACGGTTACATTTGACCAAGCAGGACCTTGCTTGATTTGTAGGTGTCTGTGGTCACATCAACGAGGATCGTCGGTGGCTATCGCCATCATAGGTCAATTGACGAGCGGTTGATGGACCGAATACGACGTCATTTGTGGGATAGACGTAAAAGGATGCGGAGGCAAGGCAAGGGCGCCCTCCTCGCCGCAATGGATTGAGCGGCGTCACCCAAGCTCATAGAACTGCTAGATTGAGTTTCGTGGCAGCTCGCTTCCTTGTGTGGGGAAGGGGGAATGGCGGGTTCCTGTGCCTGGGAGGGCGTCATTGGAGGGCTCGGTTGCATTTCCTGGGGCGCCTGGGCGCCATGGACCGCCGCCGCTGTTGTAGCCCAGTCGATGGCACCATTGCCACCCACTTCCATGGTTGGGGATTCGTGGTCGTCGCGTGCCTGGTGGAGCAACCTTTGCAATGTGCCTGCCGAGTCGATCAGAGGTTGGACTTGCTTCGAACATCAAGGAATCGCTGCTCATCCGAGTCATCGCCCGGCTTCGGCTCCCGAAAAGTCCTGGAGAGGTCGAGCGGCCGCTCATCGTCTGACATCGTATCTTGAGGATTCACAAGCATCGAGCGCCGGCTTTTCATTCTACATCATCTTCCTCGTTATTGGCATGGGCACTGGGTCTCCGCCTGTTGTATGCACCGCTCCTCCTCTTTCCTGTCTGATAGCTTTCCGACGTTGTGATAGACTTTTCTCCCACAAAGCATTCGCCATCCCATTCAGTTCTGCATAGTGGACATCTCGTCGATCGCTGTATTCGAAAAAAATTCTGGGTACATATATCGTGCACCCGGCAAGGGCATTCACGTCGAGGACACCGTTGGCCCTGGCGATTAATCAGTCCGTCAGCTTTGGAATACGCGGAAAACAAAAGTATTTATCGGAGCGCTGTCTTACTACCGTGATAATCTCCTTGCAAGCATGGCAGAACTTGATCTTCTCTCTCTTGTTGCCGTCTTCATCCTCGTCATTGTAGGTGTCCACTAACCAGCCCTTGAGCTCCATCAGCGCTCGAGGGCTCAAATTGTAAAATCCAGCCCGACTCTTTTCTAGCCATCCCTCATCCAGCAATTTGTGAAGCATGTTCTCTGAATCCATAGCACTGAGCACACCTGCTGCTGCTACCTGGGCCTCATTCTCTTCATTGGCCTGGCGCCGAAGGGCGGCTCTGCCGACTTGAATGGCGTCAATACCACTTATGCACATGGCCTCTCTTTTGCCCTGGTTGTTCTGTCCATCAAACATTGCGTCGAGAAGTTTCCTCACGTAGACGATTTCGTCGGCTGTGTAGCTTGTGGCAAGTTGCATGAGTGGGTCGCTCGTGGTGTTCACCAGGGCATACACCCGTTCTCGAGTCTGCTGGTGCAAGGTACTTCGGATCTCGAAGTCGAGAGGGGATAGTCTGCGGTTTGCGTCTGCAATGTAGTCATTCAAGTCTTCGACCGTGACATCTTGCGGTAGGACTTCGCGTTGTTCTCTAAATGTCGAACACGCCGCGATGATGGGTTTGGCCGTCTCTAGAGTGAGGACGCTGCGGGCGAGGAAGGCCTGCAGGAAGGCTCTATTGGCATCATTGTAGCCCGGGCCGTCTCCAAAGATATCCATTTTGTGTAGGCTATTCTGCGATGATCGAGCCAACTCGTCGGTTGTGGGGAGGATGGAAATTGCTGGTCTTGGAGGGAGAACTCACCACTTTACACGTAGTTTGTGGCAGACGCGTCGAGACGTCTTGTGCCAAGCCAGCGCCAGACTGTACGGCCTGCCCGAGTACCCAGTACACGAGGAGAATCCCTCACCACCAAACTTCCTCTCCACATCCCCAGCAGCACTCTTTATGCATAGTCTTAGATTTCAATAGAAGAGCAAAAGTTTGCAGACTTGAGGTCACAAACAGCAGCTGACGGTGTCATCAAAACATCTCTCCCCTTTATCCGATTGACAGACAACTCAACCCTCCACAAGCAAACACGGTGTTTCTTGATTCCCCTTGAGATGCTATGCTCGTGATCTATTTATCTATCAAGTTTGCCTCCTTGAGCGTGTGCCCAAGAGGCCCATGGATCGCTCAGAGAGCGGGTTAGCTCAAGGATGAGGGTATGTTTGTACATACAGGATGCTCCTCGTCTATCAATTCATCCCGTTCACCGACTTCCTCGACGCAATGACCTCCTCCGTCGTTTTGACGATGATCTCAAATGCCCCTCTTATATACTTCTCTTCTGCATGCGGATTGCCACTAACAACTCGCATGAAAGATTTGCCCGCCGTGCTGCTACAGGTTATGAAAATCTCTCCTCGCTCATTGATCAACTCTCCAATATGCTTCGTCACCTCATTCGCGTCCTGTTCTCTTTGCCGATCTGCTGCAGTCTGTGGCACAAAGTCTGCATTCGTTTTTGCCGAATTTGCTTGCTCTGGTAGGGCAGATGGCTTGACCCGAAAACACGTCAACCCAAATCGCGGCTCTGCGACCAACTCGAACAGATTCCTTCTCCTACGGACAAGATCAGCAAAGATCTCGCCTCTCTCCACCGTCTTTCTGATGTGTTCCCTCATTCCTTCCAGGCCGTAACTCCGCATAACGAACCAGATTTTCAGTGCGCGGAATCGTCTTCCCAATGGAATCTGCCAGTCCCGATAATCCGTGACCAGGCCACTGTCCGAGTGTTTATTCGTATAATAAGCTGCAGAGATAGACAATGCACGTGTCAGGTGGTTCCGGTTTTGGACGAACAAGCAAGATGCGTCAAAGTTGACGAGCAGCCATTTGTGCATGTTCATGTTAAACGAGTCGGCGATGATCATGAGTGGTGAGTACTTGGAGGAGTATTCCGGACAGACCAGAGCGGCACCAGCGTAGGCCGCATCGATGTGAACCCAAAGATTTGGATGGGCTTTGAGAACTGGCGCGAGGCCTGCAAAGTCGTCGACTGCACACGTCGAAGTCGTTCCCAGCGTTAGGGTGATATAGTAAGGTTCAAGACCTTCGGCCTTGCATTGCTCCAGAGCGGCTTCCAGCTCTTCGCTCTTCAAAGACAACTCATTCTCGAGTTTTGTCGGAATAGATCGATACCGAGTACCAGCGATTAGAGCTCCCTTTTGCGTCGAGGAATGAGCTTGATCACTCGACAGGGCAACCAGCCTTCCTCTCAGGAAGGCAATGCGATCCTCCCTCTCTGGCGTCCCAGGTTTCAACCCCTCAGTGTCACACTTACTGTGCAAATACCTCTCTCGCGCAGCAACCATGCAGGTCACGACCGCTTCACTTGCGCTGCCCTGAATGGTCCCTCCACCGCCACTTGCACTTGTGCTCAAAAACTCCTTGGGCAGCTGAAAAGCCTGGGCCAGCCAGTTCATCACCACAGTCTCCAGTTCCGTGCACGCGGGGCTGCAAAGCCAATTGAACGCTGGAGCTGTGAACGCGGCAGAATACATCTCTCCGAGCATGGACGGGTACGTGACGCCCGCGGGGAAAAAGGCCATGAAGTTAGGCGACTGCCAGTGCGTGATCCCGGGAACGATTTTCGACGCAATATCCGGCTGGATCTCCGACCATGCTTGGGGTTTCTCCGGTGCTGATGCTGGGAGCTGTGGCGCGAGAAAGCCCGGTTTGATGGTCGGCAACACAGGGCAGTTGGGGAGATCTTGGTTGTATGCAATGACTTGAGGCGGACTATGTGTAAGCTGTCGTTCTTTTCACATGGGACAGTCGCAAATTGGGAATGGAGCATACTTTCTTCAATGGCCGCGTGGGCAGCTTTCCTGAATTGATCCGCGTCCATGTCTAATCTTCTCGAGGAGCTGAGATTTCGGACTCGTGGGTGGAAAGATTTGAATGAAGATGCTGAGGCCGTCCGCAATCTCAGGGCTTTTTCCAAGAAGGTCCTGCACATAGAATATTATATGCAGACCCAGAGAGCGATGAATGATAGCACGAGGCAACTCAGGGCTTTCCGAATAGACAGATGAGACAGATGGGCAGCAGAGAAACAGCAGAAATACCACCAACCCCCGACAGGCAATCTAATGCACGCCCTTTGTGTCGATGAGTGCGTTTTCCCTACCTGTGATTACGATTTGCCATTTTTCAATGGGCGGAATTCATTGCGCACAGGCGAGTGACGAAAGTGATTGGCGGAAATGCGGAGCCTTGCGGCTCATTGCTTCCGCCTCTGGTGTTTTGTGTATATATACTTTGACGCTTCGCCTCCACGAGGAGTTAGCACGTCAGCAAATGTAATTCTGATGCCCTTATCCCCATCACCCCGTCGAGGCATTGCTGGATAAAGCTGCCGCCTTCAGCGCTTTGAGTAAGCGTCTCGGGCATTATGGTTGCTACTAACTTGTGCAACACTCGCCACCGCCACCCGAGGGACTGTTTATAAGTTTATATGGCAATTCGAGTGATATACACAGAATGTACATCTTCAGCTGCATTCGATGCTGAAGGGCGTAGCTTACATAGAGATTGCACACCCGGGAATCCATTCCGCTTGGCCATGTAACAGCAGAACGGAGCCCATCTCATATGGAACGGGTCATATCGAGTTCGATCACGTCTCCTCAAAGACAAAGACGCCCTTGCCAGCTCGGAATCCCCCAAGAGTCCCCTGCACAGCTTGCTTCAGGATATCGATATCCGTCTTCCATCCCCATTTGCATTCTTGCACTGGTATATCCTTGAATCGCCCTTCTCTGGTGAGCCGAAGGACGTCGTCTACCGTCTGTTTCTTTTGGTCAGGGTGTCGATCACTCCACTTGCTCACCCAGAATCCGTTGAAGGTTATCTCCTTAAAGATCAGGAGTGAGGCGGGTAATATGACAGGCTGCTTGCTCATTGCTCCGTACGTCACCATGGTTGCTCCGGGGCTGAGGAATTTTGCCAATGCAGTGGCGGGTTTCCCGCCCACGCAATTGAGTCCAACTTTGATTTGTTCTCGTCCGCCATTTGTCCACTCTTTGATCTGGTCTCTGATCTCGCGACCTTGTAGCTCTTCTTCAGTAATGACTTTGGTGGCGCCAATATCAAGAAGTTCTTGGCGGAGTTTCTGCTCCTCCTCCTTGTTCTCCCGGCCTCGGATCACATTGATACTCTTGAATCCCCACTCGTGTCCAAGTTGTATGGCAGCTCGTCCCACGCCGCTGTTGGCTCCGTTTTGGATGAACCATTCGTCTCCCCGGAAGCTCCACTTTGCCGAGTCGAGAAGCATGCGGTAGGCTGTGCAGGGATTGACTGACACTGTCCCGACTTGAAGAGGGGTCAATCCCTCCTTGTTGTCAATTTTGATTAGTTTGCTCTCGTCTATGGCCATGTGTGTCCGCCAGGTACCCATCCCTGTACTCTTCATGATGACCCAATCTCCTTTACTCAGGCTCTTTACTCCAGAACCGACGCTGATAACCTCCGCCGCACCTTCATTTCCAGCTACCGCGGAGGGTTCTGAGGTACCGAGAGCTGTTGTCATCTCTGGTTTCGCGGGATAGACACCCTGAATCTGGTTGACGTCGGCAGGGTTGATGGGAGCCACGAGCATGCGGAGAGCCACGTTGGTCCCAGATGCGGGTGATATGGAGTGACCATGTAGTGAGAGGACATCTTGTGGCTCCCCGTATTTAGAGTACACCAGGGCTTTAGCTTGCGTGTAGCCATAGCTGCTAATCTTTCGTCTTTGGTCGACGCGAGATCTGAGGGGTTGTTGACAGTCCCAACATGTCAACCGACTTGCTGAAAGCAGGCTTCGTGACGTGTCTCCGAGACATTTTCGAACATAGCGAGGAGATGCCATGACGGCTGTTGCAACGAACTCAAGACGGAAGCAGACCAGACAGACCAGAAATTGAAGCGCAAGCCAACTAGGAATTATATCATGTTGCATGGCCCAAGCATAGCCGTCGCGCTCCCCGCATTCCCGGAAAATGCTCTCCAAGCGCAGGCGGCATACAGCAACTTGGCTCGCTGGGTCTCACCTGCATGTTTGCGCCGACTCGCCGATCGCGGTGGCAACACGTTTCGCCAAATCCTCGTGACGCAGGCATTCATCATTCATTGTCAACGATTATTGCTTGCCCTTGCGCTGGATTCGGCGCATGATGCTGCTATCAAGGGCGATGACCGTTCGATGGCACGCTATTGCTCATAAATAAACTGTTCTCTGGCTGTCGATCTCAGCTCCGACAATGAGACGAGCCAGCATGTCGTGGCTCTGGAAGGTGAGCACGCGGCCACCAGAAGTCTCGGGCAGTTACTTACTTACCTTGTCAGGGAGATGCCAACTCCCCTGCATCTTTCGAGAAAGCGCTCTCCAAGCTGTCCTCACAAATCACTGCCGCGAACCTGGCCCTTGACATCAATCGCAGTCGAGATCGCCGAATCAAAGCCCTGTGGACTCTTTACACAACCCTCACATACCTTCTCTACACTTTGATCATTGTTCTCGTCCTTGGACCGCGGAATTGGTCCATCTATCACTATGCCGGCCTCATTGGAGCACCGATCACCATCTACGTGGTCCGAATGGTCATTGCTGCTTTTTTCGATTGGAGGATAAGCCGTCAGCAAGCATACTTGGATCATTTGCAGAAGCAACGGGAACAAAAGATTGCAGATCTCAAGAAAGCCACAAAGTATGACAGTACTCAAGAACTACTCCAGAAGTACGGCGGTGCTCCACCGACAAAGTCACCCTCGAAGCAGCCTCAGCAAGGGACGAAAAGAAAGCCCGGTCCTCCCACAGAGAAACTCCCTATGCAAAGGACTGGAATTGCACCTCCACCAACAGCAAATATTCCAGGAAGACAGAACCCCAACCCACTTGCGCAGAAACCGAATATACAACCAGGCGCTACACCTATGTCGCCAACTCATGGCCCATCAGCACTTGCCGGTCCTATGATGGCACACAGCCCCGTGGATTTAACGCCGGATTCGCCAGGTTTTGCTCCCAACGCCTTTGCGAGCATACCACCCCCTTCCAGCACCACATATGAGCAGCCGCCCCACTGGTACGACCGCATACTAGATGTCCTTCTTGGCGAGGATGAAACCGCCGCGAAGAACCGATTGGTGTTGCTGTGCTCCAGGTGTCGTCTGGTCAACGGTCAAGCCCCTCCTGGTGTTAGGGCACTGGAGGAATTAGGGCGTTGGAGATGCAGTGGCTGCGGTGCTTGGAACGGAGTCGAAAGTGAAAGTGCGAAAGCTGTCACCGAAAATACTGCTGGCTCGAAGGCAGAGGATGTGGAGGGCTGGGAGAGGGTGCCTCGAGCTGCGGACATTCGAGAAGAAACTCCCGAAGACTCCAAGTCCGAAGAAATATCTGATATCAGCAATCAGGGAGGGACAGGACGAGAAGTTGATGATGACGGCGGCCTCGTCAAGCGAGTCACCCGTAGTGCAGGCAAGCAAGATTCCCCCGAGCCTTTGGAATGAATTATGCCTATCTCATATGTCAAATATATCTCCTATCAGTCGATCGAACCACAAAGTCAACCAGGCACCCCTTTTTTGCGTGCGCTTATCACGTGAACAAGTTTGCCAAGACGTGAAGAGATTGATATTCCCCATCATTCAACTTCATAGTATTCCCGTTGCCAAATCATAGTCATAACCATGCCAAGAGAAGCGATCTTAGAAACATGTCAATCTTCACTGTACGTCCGGCCAGTACGGACAAGGATCCTTTTAGAATCGGGTTGACGGCCGTGTCTATGCTGTCGCTGAAGTTGAAATCTGGGGACATCTGTGAGCTCCGGGGAGCCGATGACAACAATGGCAAAAGGAAGCTCGCTGTCGCTTGGCAAGGGCTTGGGCCTGGAATGAAAGATTCGATCGTTCAGACGTCAAGGCTCCTCCAAGAAGCCTACGGGTTCAAACTAGGAGAGAAGATCACTATTTCGCGCTGGTCACATCCCTTACAGAGTGCCGTCTCTGTGACGCTTCAGAAGGTTGGGGCTCCGCCAGATGTTGACGCTGACTTGAAATCCTGGTCGAAGCAGATTGCCTCGACTATATCCCCTACAGGGGAACATATGGTTGTGTCACAGAGGTTACGCTGTACGCTGTCATCAAATGGAGTGGAAGCAGTCGAGTTCGTCGTAAAGGACATGGGTTTGCAAGACTCCTTGTTCGCGCGCGTAACAAGGGACACGGCCTTCAGGATTGTCAGCTCAGAGACGCTAGATCAGCCTCTAGCCATCACTTTCCGGCCAAAGCATCTCGGTGGGATGCAGGATCAAATTGCTCAAGTGCAAGACATCGTAAGCGATATCTGTTACCCAATTGCCAAACAGCATTTTCAAGCATACGAGCCAGTGCAAGGGCTTCTTCTGTACGGCGCTAAAGGAACAGGAAAATCGTCATTGATTGCCGCCTTGGCCGATTGCGAATGGCCGACAGTCCTACATTGGAAACCAGGGGCAGAGATTTTCGCCTCGCCAGAGCCCTCCTTGGTTATTGTAGGGCCAGAATATCTTACCAGAAACCCCAGTACCTCGTCAAATCTGACCAGCGAGTTGGACTCCATGTTTCAGCGGATTCAGGGAAGCCCTACCCTTGTGGTTGCGGAAGCGCGGCACCCAAATGATATCGACGAAAGGCTGCGAACAGAAGGCAGGTTTGCCGTTGAGATCGAGTTGCCTATCCCGTCAGCGCTTCAAAGGAAAGACATTTTGCTTGCGTTACGAGACAAGGACAGTGTCCCTACAGATGACCTTCTGCAGGAAATTTCAGATAGGACACATGGATATGTAGGTGTTGATCTGAAAGCTCTTCTTCGGGTAATGATTCACCTTGCATCTAAGCACCCGCCGCCTTATGGAGCAAATGATGGTGAAGGAACTCGGTTGGTTGTACAATCCGCCGATCTCGAGAACGCTCTGCAACAGGTCCGGCCGTCTGCGCTACAAGAGATCTTTCTCGAGACCCCAAATGTCCGATGGTCTGATATCGGTGGCCAGCATGAAATCAAACGTCAGCTACACAATGCTGTTGAGCGACCGTTGAAGTTTGCGGATCGCATGAAGAAGTTGCGCTTGCAGCCAAAGAAAGGCGTCCTTCTCTATGGTCCTCCTGGTTGTTCAAAGACTTTGCTTGTCCGAGCCCTGGCAACGGAAGCCGGCCTCAACTTCCTGGCTGTCAAAGGGGCAGAACTGATCTCCATGTATGTTGGTGAGAGCGAAAGAGCCACCCGCGAGGTGTTCCGCAAAGCCAGAGCGGCCAGCCCAAGCATCATCTTCTTCGACGAGATTGACGCCATCGCCTCTCGCGGGAGAAGCGGCAGCGATCTCAATGTTCTGACCACCTTGCTCAATGAGATGGATGGGTTTGAGGAGCTTCGAAATGTATTTGTGGTCGCTGCGACCAACAAGCCGCAAAATATCGATCCTGCTTTGATGCGTCCGGGCAGGTTTGACAACGTTGTCTACATTGGTCCGCCAGATGTTGAAGCGAGAAAGGAGATCTTCCACAAACGGCTCGAAGGGGTGTATGAAAGTCAAGATAGTCTCGGTGAGGCCGTACAAGAGTTTGCCAGTTCAACAGAAGGGTTTTCAGGGGCCGAGATCGTTGCCATTTGCCAGACTGCCGGAGAAAATGCCTTTGACGCTGACCGCGAAACAATCATATCCGATGACATCAGGAAAGCAATCGGGACGACTCCAAAGAGTATCACCAAAGAGATGTTACTAGAATTCGAAACGTGGAATGCCGCACGAATGCGGTAGGAGTGGCGTGGGTGCAGAGCGCAAGCGTCTGACCCACGATGATGTCTTGTCGAGCGATTATCATGCATTGCCATTTGGCCTTCCGTTTGTTTCAATAGCCAAATCCTGGATTGTCTTCCAGACAAAATGTTTCTGGCCCGGATTAACGACATGGTTATCGTTTCCCAGCCCGCCTGCGTCTTTGAGCCTGTAATCCGCTCTCCCGTCGCCCATGATGAACCTGAGGCAGACGATGGGACCGCGATCCTCGTACTGGCGACCTAGAGCTCTCCTTCTGAAGCCCTCCAGTTCCACACTCTTCAAGTCGATGTCCCCAGCACCCGCGGCGGTCATGACTTGGGCGATTTGCCGGAAACTTGCGTGCGTTCCCGCAATCCTTAGTTGTTCAGGCAGCTTCTCCCCGCGCATCCTTCGCTCCGCCAGGATACACAGAACTCTTGCAATGTCACCGATATCTGTGTAGCTAATCACCTGGTCCAAGCTTCCAACAGCCTGATACACGTCTTTGGAAGTGTGAAAGCCGTACCAAGGGCCGATTCCGCTGTGGAGGAAGAGTCCGTTGAATAGCCTACAGACCTGAACGTCGGTGTCTTTGACCATGTTCTTGGTCAGGTTGTAATGCTGCTTCTTTCCATCCCACTCGGGGACGTCGAAGTCGTGGAGCGTGTGGTCGACCCCGAATTCCGACGGAAAATACAGCTTCACGGCCGTCTTGGGCAACGTCCTGGCAATATTGTCTCGAAGCTGGGCTCCTGCCATTGATATGCTAAGAGGTCATGCACGATACGATTTCAGTTGATTGTTTCTGTGCTTTCGGTTGCATGGTAATATATATATATATATATGCATGTATGTACTCACGCGTTGATGAGGACGTCGATCCCGTCCAGCGCCATGACCAGGTCATTCTCGTCGTAGGCGTCCTCCTCGATGATTCGGATCTCGGCGCCTCTCTCCGCCCATCTTTGCGTGCTGGCCTTGTGTCGACGAGCGATCAACACGAACCCGGAAAGCCTTGTGCGCAGCTCATCTGAGAGAAAAGTGCCAGTCAGACGTGTTCCCAGGTCACCCGTGGCGCCGACGACTGCGACGACCGGTTTGGCTGGAGACGGCGAAAAGGGGGGTTTCATGACAACAATGGCTTTTTCCTAAATCCTGAGACCCGTCTGGGGGAGGAATTGGACTTGTGTTGTCCCAGTACTAGGTAGTCAGGTCTGAAATTTTTTCTTTTTTTTCCAAGTATGGTACATAGGCCTTACTACTACCATACGCTGACAGCCTCACTAGCCGTGTCTGCCACGCGCCCCACAGAGCATTTTATGCATCTCGGATCTATATAATAAGCCCCCTTCCCTCTTTCCTGCGCGGTGTGGTCTTCCCCGACTCGGACTCGACCTCCTCACTCCCACTGCGCCGGGACTGACAAAATACGGGAGAAGGGCAAGTTCTGGGGAGAAGGCGGAGCGCTACTGCTACGAGGAATACAACGGCAAGTCGGAAGCATTTTACATCGGCTTCTAAGGGCGGTTAGGGAAGACGGTCTCGGAGACGCGGTGAAAATGACAGCGATGTCGCCGAGGTTAGAAAACTATTTTGCTCCCGTCGAAAAGACTCAAACCCTTCCAGTAGACCCTCGATCAGAGTTTGGCGCTCGGCCTCAGATACGCCCCAGCACCGCTCAGCACCTTGACTGCACCGTCCATCATCTCCGCCACGATCTCCGCTGCGGTCTGATTTGGCGTGTTTACGAGTCCAGCGACTTGTCCCATGGGCCTTTTTGCAAAAACAAGTGTCAGCAAAAATAAAGTCGTACGACGATTCTTGTAATGAGCAGTAATAAAAAAAAAAAAGATCCCAAGAAACACACATACCTGAGAGTGGATTGATCCTCAATCTCCTCGGTGATGCCTCCGATCTTCTCCAGCCGTTCCATTTCATGGTGCAGTGCGATGATCCCTTTACTTTGCAGGTCCAAGATCTCGTCCCGCCTATTCGTCTCCCAGTTCCGCACATAGGGCGTGGCCAGGGCGCGCAGCGGGCGACCGGTCCAAATGGTCGATTTGATCGTGCTGTCAAAGTCGGCGGCGATAATGGCCCTCTTTGCAACCTCTGGGGCGCCGGACTCTTTCGCTGTGACGAAGCGTGTGCCAACCCAGACGGCTGAGGCGCCGAGCATCAGCGCCGCTGCGATCCCGCGGCCGTCGTAGATGCCGCCTGCTGCTACGAGTTGGACGGGTTGGCCTGTTAAGGGGGAGGTGTAGTTCTTGACGATGTCGGCGCAGGCCGGGATCAAGACACTTCAGCGGAGAGATACAGACGTTAGCCAGTCCTTTCTGACATTGACATGCATGAGGTGGCAATCTTCCGCAAGCATGGCCTCTCTCGCAATGCCAAGTTCAACTCACCTCGTCGGCGTATCGCCCGTATGTCCACCGGCCTCTCCTCCCTGGGCACAGATAATGTCCGCACCAGCCTGGCATGCTTTGTGCACATGCTTGGGGTGTCCGATCATGTTCATATACAGCACGCCGTTTTTGTGGAGTTTATCCACGACGTGTCTAGGGGCGACTCCCACGGCGGAAACGAAGAGTTTGGCGCCGCCGGCGATGATGATGTCCACGAGTTCGTTGAGGGTGCCTTTTGTGTAGTCCAGCTGTTCATGTGGAAATTAGAAGAGCGTCGATTAGTTCCGTCCGCGAAAGGGGTGAAGCCTGGAAGTAAGAGGGCAGCGCGAGTCAAAATAAAGAAAAAGAAAACTCACATTAGTCTTGCGCGCATTGCCGCCGACTTGTGGAATCAATAGATCGACGCCAAAGGGAAGAGATGGGTCCTTTAGACCGGCCTGTGCTCAAGAAGAGTTTCACAACAGTCAGCCGCTGCCAGTTCCGCGCCACGTTCTGTGCCTCCAGCTTCGTGCTGCTGGGCATCGTCGGGCATCGTCTCGCCCGGGTCTGAGAGGCGAAAATCAGGGTGGCAGAATTCAGGTAGATGGCTCTCTCTTTACTCACTTTCAGTTCATCGATCATCTCCTGTAGCATCTTTGGCGTATATCCGACTCCGCCGATCACACCGAGGCCGCCTCTCATAGGGTTTAGCACGCAGATTGAAAGAAAAGAGGGAAGTCGGATATATCGATTGTATATATCCCATCTTGTATTGTATATACGTACCGGCATTTGACACGGCGGCTGCGAGAGGAGCACCCGACGTCTGGCCCATGCCTGCCAGGAGGATGGGATGCTGGATGCCCAGCAGCTGGGTAACGGGCGTAGTTATCGACATTTTATTGGGTTTGGCTTTGCTTTGGGGGTGATTCTGCCAGACAGATAGACGCAGACACAGCGAAGACGACAAACAGGGGCCGCAAAAGGGATACGATCAAGAGAAGAGAATAATGGCCCCGAGAGATGTATGTAATATGTACCAAGCAGGTAGTTTTTAATGTCCTTTCCGAGGTCCGGGTGGTGGTGTCAGCAATTAGTATGTAGTGGATCTTGCTACTGCAATGGATGGAACAGCGGAGCTCAAGTTATTATGTGTATGTAACCAAAGTATTATATCACAGATTCTCACAGTGGCTCGGCTATTAATTGCGCATAGTTGTTGGTTACAAGACATTGAAGTTTCTCACCCGGACAAGATCAGGATGTGCCTAGAGCCTTCAGCCGAGTCGAAGATGCGGGATGCCGAGGTCTGCGACTAGACCACTTTCCAGGGGAGGAGATACCCCATATTGCCCATACCCAGTACATACTCAACTAAATACTATGGAGATAGCTATCAGCTAATGTAGCTCTGTCGCGGGAACAACAGTCGGCTCGTGGCCGGTGTGGACGAGTTCCTACATCATTCTATTTTCCGAGGCCCAAGCCTTGCCTTGTCTTGCCCTGCACGGCATCAGGCTGAACATCTCACTTCCGATCTCCGGAATCCTTCTCTTCTCTTCTCCTTGGAGCCCACCACCCAATATTAATGCAGCTGACCGACCCCCTCTCCCTCTCCCTGGACCATGCAGACGGCATTGTGTCAGATCTGGCCAGCATCAGACAATCATCCCTGACCATGACTCCGCTGGGCCAGCTCAGATACGGCGCCGTCCTTGCTGCCGAGGCCCGCAAGTGGCTGGAGTCGTGTGTTCGACTCGAGCTCAACAGCGAGCTGGCCACCTATCCCCGGATCGCTGGTTTTGAGACCGACGGCCGGGGCCAGAATGTATCGCGTATGGAACACCTCGTCATCCGGGATCTGGATCTCGAGTCGTTGGCCGTGGGCCAGACTCTCCAGAACGACGAGGAAGCGCGTCCTCCTCCCGGCCGTGTTGTCGCGTTTGCAGAGTTCAGATATCACCCTCACCCACACCCACACCCACACCCACACCCATTGAACGAAGCCGGGGCGGGAAACCTAGGGCCAACACAGAGCTCAGAGCAGGAAGACCCTGCCTCAGCCGAGTCAGAGACAAAGACAGAGCCACCAATCGATCTCCCACCTTCGGCTCACCGCGCACTGCACGAACACTGGGACAAGGCCGTCGAAGCCGCCCTGTCGGCGCAGTTCGGCGGGATGCACTGCTTCGAGGTGCGCGGCATCGGGACACTCTCGCCATCACACCTGCGCAGAGGCATCGCCAGCAGGCTTCTGCGTTGGATCTTTCCCTGGGCAGACAAGTTGGGCGTCCCCGTCGTCCTGGCTGCCACGCCGCCGGGGTACCCTTTCTACATCCAACATGGGTTCGTGGAAGTGGACGACGGCGGCCCGCGGAGTTTTGTCCAGTGCAACATGACGGAGTGGGGAGGTGAGGGTGTCCATCGGCATGTTCTTATGATAAGATGGCCGACAACACGGTCGGATCCAAGTGCTAGCTAGCTAGCTGAAGCTGAGACGCCGCCCGTGCCCGCTGTCAGAGACATCTTCTATTGCTGCCATTTGGCCGAGTGAGTAAGTCTTCAAGACAGCGATCTCAGTCCTCACAAACGACCTGGTTACGATGGCCTGTTTTTGGGTCTCGAGCCATGTTGACATATTTTGAGACCTTTTCGGTCATCGCTACAGAATTCAACTTAGTGACTCGTCATTAACCAACCAGCGCATCCCAACAACGTCAATATGAGACGAAATCCCCAAGAGATAAGATCCAATACCCAGAGACCCAAGAAAAAGGTAATGTTACAGATCTCCCAATATCACATCGCTTGCTCACTTCTTCTTCTTACCGCTACCAAGCCCCATGGCTTCTGCCAGGCTTCCCAGACCCAGACCACCCAGCAGCTTGTCAACACCCAGACCTCCCAGAAGACCACTCACCAAGCCGCCCAAGCCCAAGCCATTAAGCAACTTGCCCACCAACCCGAGCACGCCACTCAGCAACAAACCGACGGCGGCAATGATCTGGAATAAGGGCTCGGTCAACAGCGCCCACAGTGGATTCAGCTTCTTCTTCGCATGAGGCATGTCCGCAATTCTCTTCTTGGCATTGTCGATAGTTTTGACAACCTGAGTGGTAAGTTCCTTCAGCCCTTCGGCGACGCGATATTCTTCCGGCGAAGCCTCGCCGCTGGCTGCTTTTGCTTTCGCGTTGGCGGCGATATGGCCGTCGGGATCGAGGCCGCGGATCGCACCGTTGCATTCGCCGAGGATACGAGATCCCTCTTCAATAAGCGGCTTGACATCTTGCACGAGTTTTTCCTCGTCCAATTCATCCTTGGGCGTGCGGTCCGCTCTTTCAACAAGCTGTCATCCACCGTTAGCATAGCTCGGACAATCTCGGAGCCAAGGGCCATGGGCGTGCTGTGCTTACCTCTGTGATCTGCTTGCAGATAGGTTCCATCCTCTCCAGTGTTTGATTGATGATATTGGAGATCTTCTTGGCAACCTCACGCTCCTCTTCCTCTTTCATTTGTTCAGGCGTCGGGCCCTCTTCAACTTCCTCCGGCTCTGGAATGTTCTCTAACAATGTACACTCTCCAATCTTGTTGCCGTCTTGATCCACCACATATCCATTGTCGTTGACCTCCTTGCCAATGCAAGCAAGCAAATTGCCATCTGTCAATCGTCCAATGACATCTCCGTTGCGGTCACGAACTTCACCCTCCTTGTTCACGCGTAGGCCGGACATAGGTGAGACTTCTCGTTCCTTCTTTTCTGGTTCCCATCGTTCAGCATGGCCAATGACATTACCGTTCTTATCGACAATATCACCGTCATCATCCACGTGGCGACCCACCAGTTTCTTAATATCGCCTTCGGTGACGCGCCCAATGATCTCTCCGCTGGCGTCCTTGACCAAGCCGTCTTTGTCGATGGCTGTGGATTCGAAATTGGAGAAGGGTCCTTCAGCACGACCATCATCACCGCCGGCAATCAGTCTTGCACGGCCGATGACTCTACCGTCATTGGACCAGATTTGTCCTTTTCCGTCCACCTTGCATCCAACAAGACGCTTGACATCGCCCTCTGCGACTTCACCAAAGATGGTTCCATGTTCGTCCACAATCTTGCCTTGCTTGTTGACAGTCTTACCAGCGAGGCTAGAGAGGTCTTCCTCGACAACTTCTTCCTCGGGAACTTCATATGGCTCCACGTGACCCTTGACATTTCCGTATTTGTCAATGATATCACCCTCTTCGTCAACACCGCGACCAAGCAGTTTCTTCCAATCTCCCTCAACCACTTTGCCGACAACGTTGCCTTCGTGGTCCTCGACGAACCCATCTTTGACAACAATTAGACCCTCAAGACCGGCGAAGGGTCCTTCAGGTTTAGCTTCACGCTCATTAAATGGAATGAGTTCGCAGCGTCCGACGACCTGACCTTGATCATTCCAGATCTGGCCGTTCTCGTCGATCTTGCGGCCGGCAAGCTCCTTAGGATTTCCTTCAACCAGGCGACCGATGGGGACGCCATCAGGTCCAATGACGTTACCTTGCTTGTTACATGTCAAGCCCTTCAATTCAGAGAGATCGACTTTCTCTTCTGGCTCTGGCTCCGGTTCGGGTTCCTCATATCTCTCAGCGTGACCGACGACGTTGCCTCGTTTATCAATGATATCACCATCTTCGTCGACTGCACGGCCGACAAGTTTCTTCGCGTCACCTTCAACGATGCGGCCGACTCTGTTGCCGTTCTCGTCTTCGACCCAACCATCAGCCACAACAACGAGACCTTCAAGACCTGCAAACTCTGCTTCCTCCTCCTTATCCTCCTGAGGTAGAGTCTTTGCACGGCCAATAACATGGCCTTTGTTGTCCCAGAATTGTCCTTGGTCATCGCAGGTGACACCGGCCTTCCAGATTTTCTTGGCGTCACCTTCAACCAATTCGCCGACAATGTTGCCGTTACTGTCAACGATCTTGCCCGACTTGTTGACCTTGAGGCCTTCGAGGATGGATAGAGGAGGCGAGCCATCATCGATCTCTTCGCCTGCCTCTTCGACTGCCTCGTCGGCTTCCTGAACAATCATCTCGACTTTGCCGATGACATTACCATTCTTGTCCAAAACCTCTCCCTTGTCGTTTAGCTTCTTGCCAGCAACGGCGGCAAGGTCACCCTCGACAAGTCTCGCAATCTCGTCACCGTCCTCATTGAGCACCAGACCCTTCTTGTTGACCTTAAGGCCTTCGAGGATAGAAGTGTCCGGAACGCCTTCAGCGGCTTCTTCGACCGTCTCAACAATGCCCTCTTCAACAGCTTCAGGGATGAATTCAACCTTTCCAATCACGTTCCCATCCTTGTCTAGAATTTCTCCCTTTTCATTGATCTTCTTGCCACGGACCGCATCAAGGTCATATCCTTCGGATAGTTTGGCGATAGGATCGCCATCCTCATTGACAACTTCGCCCTTCTTGTTGACCTTGAGACCCTCAAGTTGAGAGAAGTCTGGTTTGGCGGCCTTTTCAGCTGCTTCTTGAGCCTGTCCTGCTGCTCCTTCGGCTGTGTCGGCAGCACCTTCTGCAATATCTGCGGACTTGTCGGCGACCTCGGCCTGATCACCGGCTTCCTCTGCCTGCTTCTCAGCCTCTTCCGCAGCCTGCTGTGCGTCTTGGAGCTCTTCAACTAGTTCGGGGTGGAGTTCTTTCATGGCTTCTTCAGCAGCGTCGCCCTGGACGACCTCGACGCGGCCAATAACCTTGCCATTTTTATCGACAATCTCCCCATTCTCGTTAGGCACTTTGCCGGCGCAAGCCTTTAGATCGCCTTCCACAAGCTTGGCCAGGACTTCACCCTCGTCGTCGAGGATAGTGCCTTTCTTGTTAAGCTTGCGGCCTTCCACGATCGTGAGGTCGGGCTTCAATTGGTCTTGCAGCTCTTCGACTTTGCCAATGGCCTCTTGGACAGCTTCTGGTTTGGCTTCCTCGTGGACACCATTGACCTTTTCTTGCAGGGCTTCGCCGGCTTCCGGAACGATTTCTGCACGGCCTATGACATCCCCGTCTTCGTCCAGAACTTCTCCTTCGGCGTTCAGAGTTCTTCCGACTAAATCGGCCGGTTCACCTTCGGTGATCTTGCCCAAGATCTTGCCAGATTGATCCTTGATCGCGCCATCTTCTTGAACCTCCAAACCTTCAAGTGCTTCGAGACCGGGAAGTTCGCCGGCAGCCTCTTCGACGGCATGCTTAACTGGCTGAGGGAGAGTCTCCGCACGACCTACCGCATCGCCATCCTCATCCAAAACTTCACCATCGGCATTCACTGTCATGCCAACCAAGTCTGCGGGATCGCCTTCGATGATTCGGCCGAGGACGTTACCTTCTTTGTCGAGAAGGTCTCCATCCTCTTGGACTTCCAGACCGTCGAGGACGTTTAAGTCGGGAAGATATGTCTCCACAGCTTCTTCTGCGGTGTCCTTGACACCGTTGACTGCCTCCTCCGCTTGCTCCTCGGCGCCCTCTGCAGCTTCATGGACGCCGTTAGCTTTGCCTTCGACGTCGGCCTTCTCAGAAACCTGGCCGGCGAGCTCTTGAGCTTTTTCTGGGATGACGCTTGCTCGACCGACGACATCGCCGTCTTCATCGAGGATTTCACCATCATCGCCAATCTCATAACCTTCGAGATCGGCTGGATCACCCTCGTCAAGTCTACCGATCACATTGCCGGCCTTGTCCTTGATGTCTCCGTTCTCGCTGACCTTGAGACCCTTCAGGACGGACAGGTCAAGAGGCAGTTCCTCAGTAGTGCCTTCGGCAGTCTCCTGAACATTGTCGGCCACCTTTTCGGCGTGACCCTTGACACCATTTGTGGTCTCTTTGACATCAGGCACATCCCCAGCACCCTTCGGCGCTTCCTCGGCGGCCTCCTCTGCGGCCTCCGCCGTCTCTTCAACTGTGTCTTTGACACCGCCAGTAGTATCTTCTGCAGCGCCCTGCACATCAGCTTGTGAGACTTTGCCGGCCGCGCCATTGGCAGTGTCTTTGGCACCACCCACGCGGCCTGCAACCTTCTTGCCAGCACCACTGACAGCCTTTCCGAGTCCGCCTAGGGCACCCTTTCCTTGGCCTTCAGCTTCGTCCTCGGCCTCTTCGGCAGCATCGCCTCCTTCCGTGACCTCCTCCTCCTCTTCTTCTTCTCCTTCATCGCCTTCTTCAGTGCCTTCATCTTTGGCAGCGTCTCTGCCGCCACGCACTGTTTCCCCTCCTTCTTCTTCCCCCTCGTCTTCCTCCTCGTCGTCTTCAGGGATGGGCTCGGGGTTGGCTTCGGAGAGCTCACTAGTTTCGGCACCAGTGTCATCGCCGGGTTGACTAATTTTGCCGCCAGGCTCTTCAGTGTCTTTCATGCTGATTGCTCCTCGGGCTTCCTCCTCGACATCCTCGGGCTTTTCTTCCACGACCTTAGGAGTCTCCTCGGTGGGTTTTGGTTGAGAGGGAAGGCTT